TTACAATAACAATGGCAATTATAATGATAGTAATGCAACTTGTACTGATAACAATACTACTACTACTATTAATGAAAAAAGTAATAACAATGATAATAACAAAAATTATGCTAAAATGATTGTAAATATAATTGTGAATCATGTTGTGATAGCGATGTCGATGTTCACGATCTCATAATCTCAAATGTTCGGTTAGCAGTAATAGGCAAGTGGACTTCTCCTGTAAGCAGTGCTGTGTACCTGGAGCTAAATATAGTGACCCAGTTATATTAGTTGTCTCGGAGCTAAGAATTTGATATTGTATACAAAGGAAGGAATAACAATAAAAATTAGCATGAAACTGACAATTTCGATCTACAATCTTATTCATATTGAATACAATATACAATCTTCCTCCGGTACTCCATAGAAAGGTTAAAATGGTCGGGTCGGATAAGTTACAAATCGAAACTTTGAAAGCTAAAGTTACTAGAAAAAGGAGAAGACGTTTTCGAAATGCTCTCATTTCAGTCTGCCGAAAACAATGTTTAAAATATACACGTCCCGTTGATAACTCATCGCGGAAGGGGTGCCCAGTCAGAAATTGTTTCCAATAATTTCATTGGCGTTTTGCAAACGAGAGTGAAAACCAGAGGGAAAACCTGACACTAAAATATTCAGTACCTCTCCTCACCAAAAGGGACTCGTCATACTCTCTACAAATGGAATTCAAGTGGAGACAGTAACTATGAACAGCCAAACTGGTCGCGACAAGGACTCTTTCTGTATCCTGTACAAAAGCGTGGGAAACAACGCCTATTAGTAATAGACTCTGGTAGATCTTTATGACTACGAATTAAGCATTGAGTATATGAGCGCCCTCTGTCATCGAAATTGACCACAGCTCTTCAAGAGTCATCAAGCTGTGCTGTGGAGTTTTTCAAGAGATCTAAGAATTAGGTTAAGTGTCTCTTAAAATTATTACACGACCGGTTTTCCCCCGAAGGTACGTCGGTACATGGGAGGGAGACCATCAACAATTTCCTCGACTGAATCGAATGGGTAAAATAAATTAGCCAAATTTCAAAATGGCGGAGGTTCTTCTTCAATTTATGATCGATCCGAAAAGTGAAGAATCAAACGAGTTTTTGTTGTGGATTCACAGGGCTGCGCCTCGCGAGTCCACAACATTTTGACCAGTCCACGCTAAACAAATGTCGGATTGTTAAATCATCGAGTGTCACGAAATCAATTGAAAATATATTAAATAGATGGAAAACTTTGGGTTCACGGTGCTGCGCTGTTTCACGTTCGGTTATGATTTATTTTAGTCATTATTTTGGCGGGGATTTAAAATTCTGCAGTTTGCATTATCATTCTTAAACTAAACCAACACGCAGTTGGGGGTTCTTGATCATTAAACGATTGAACAAAAATCGTTGACCCTTGTCACCTATATATCAACCTGGAAACCACAATAAGCTGAAAAAAAATTGCAAATTTTTACCACGGTTTCAAATCAACGTATTTAAAACGAAACATGGCATGTGCAAGGAAGAACCTATAAGACCTAAACTGCCAGCAGTAAACCTGCTTTACTTACAATGCAAAAAAAATGTATAGTATTGCATTATGCACTCTGTTCAGTCGTGCGTATCTCAGCTAAGAGAAAACATATTACGATGTCGTCATCTCTTAAGCTTTTCGTTCAACGCTGGAGTGTTTTTATTTATTTTCCACGATGTGACAAGACCTGTAGAATGTCCATATTTCTCACAGACGTGGCTCTGGTAATGTAGTAACAGGGTACAGTAATTTAGTATTATCAACGGTATTATGTTGACGTGGACTGGTCACCGTAAAGAGTTTAAAAGCTGACGTTTCGAGCGTTAGGCCTTCGTCAGCCCGGTGTCTGTTGGCAAAAATTTCGTTCGTGAAATTTAACTCTCCACGAGAGAAAGAAGCACCATCTCCCTTTCGGAATAAAACCGAAAATTTGCGTCGATCAAAAAATGCAATTCCAACACGTCTCTCAAACTAATGGAATTTATCTTCTTTTATGTTCTTTTATAGCAGCCAGGCCCTTGATGATATTGTTGCTGCCAATCTTGAGTGGTAAAAAAAAAAGGCATAGGGTAAAATATGGACTGGACTATTTTTTGGACCATATTTTGGACCATGTTTTGGACCATTTTATGGGGGGGGGGGAACACACCATTAGTTCCCAGGGAGGGGTGCGATGCAGTCTATCGTGATTCCCCCCTACACTTCTTTCGGGCTCCTACTGCTTCTTAACTGCTTTACAATAGAACAGAGCACAGTCAAAACTTCTCTATATGTCAATTAATAATATTATTAATATTTTATTATTTTTATTTTTATTGATACTATTATTGTTATTGTCATTATTATCATTATTATTGATATGATTATGATTATTATATGAAATCCTATCGCAAGGCAAAATCTAAGAGCGAAGCTTCCTACGAGGCCCGATATATCAAGAGTTTTTATTATTATCATTATTATTATAATTACTAGTGCCAAAAGCCAATAGTAAGCACTATATGCTTTTTTGCTTAGGCATATTGATCAATTCTACAATATTGGCGGGCAACACCAAGTTTCTCGGCAATCTGTTACATTTTTTGTCGCCTGCTCAGTAGGAAATAATTCACAGTGGTTGCTGTGCCACCGCGCCTCCACGCACGGCTGGGCTGCAAAAACCTTTCATGACAGGTGCGACAATAAAATTTATACTGTGATCATCATCAAAAATGGCGAGTACGTATTTGGAGGATACACCGATGTTCTATGGGGTAAATATAACTTTCCTGAAACTAAAAAACAACCATGCTCTTATTTTGATTTTGATTTGTTTGCTTTGCTTTCTCTTCTAACTGTTAGCGTTATTGTTATTGCTTTTTCGTATTGTTTTCTTTTTTTTCTTTTATTTCTATACTCCTTTGAAAATCGTATCATTATCCCTTAACTGAAGCGAGAACTTTCATGAAACTAAAAAACAACCCGCTGCCCTCTCAATACTGAGCCTTTTTATGGGGGTCCACGTTTCCGTTACCAACATTGACGACGTCATTATTTTATGAGAGATTTTCTTCAATGTCGATATTCACTCCACTCATAGTGCAACAAGCAAAATGGAAAAGAACAACATCTCCTATATGCTTAAATATCAATGTTTTATAAACTCGTTTAGCTATTTATATATTCATTAATTGATTGATCGAATCAACTTGAAATGATCTGACAGTTTATTATATGATCTGTTCGGCAACAAGCGCTCAATTATTGAAAAATATCAAGAAAAAAATAGGTTAAAAAATAGGTCCAAACGTTATGAACTCCACCCAAAAACTTTCACTTCCGGTCCTCTCATGTAGTCAATAAATACATAGCATGTGCAAGTCAGAAACAGGCACCCTTTACCCTTGGCTGTCACTCTAATTGGTAATCACGCGCTTGCTCTTCAGATACTAAAGGTGACTACAAAAGCACCAACAATTCGTTCATACTCTCTTTACGGAACAAAGAGGAATTATATCCATTTAAGAGCATGGTGTTGTGGCCACAATTTATAATTTTCGGCGACTCAGGAAAAGGTTCAACATTTGGAGCCGCCTGGGACATTTACATAGCGGACCACGCCAACAGCAACATGGAATCATACGCATTTCTTGGAGGAAACAGGGTTTACGAACTACCGGATGGAGTAGGGATCAACGTAAACTCTTGACCGGTACAGATAACTTCTCACCTGGGGACTGGGAAGTATTTCATCTTACTTAGAATACCTTTCCGTGGCATTACTGTCATCAAAAACGCTTTTCTGGACTGTGTTTCATTTGAGCGCTACCCTGCGAAGACTATTTACATCCTACCGGGTTACCTACAATAGCACTAGAAAATTAACTGATCTCGTAGTTTCGGCAGCACCTACTTTCTATCAGAGATGGACTACTTGGCTTGTAATTATCTGCTTAGTACCTTGTCACTGTAAATTAATTTGCTAAGGCAAATATCAGGGATATGATTGACTGTAAATATATGAAAATCATATATGTTACCTGTGATTTAAGAAATGAATTCGAAGGCGATCTTCGCAGTAATGAACACTATCGCAGAGGTTATGGATTATAATCCCGAACGGGCCTGAATTTTTTCAGGCCTTATTTTCACTACTGCTTAAGTAGTAAAAAAAAAAGTGCGAAGATCGCCTTTAAATTCATTAGGGATATGCTTTAAATTATAGTAATAATAATAAAAATAATAGAGATGATAACAATTAAGATAGCAATAATAAATAATATCAATAATAGCGATAGCAATAATCATGACAGCAAAAATAATGATAACAATATTAATAAACAAAATAATGAGATGGTGTTATCGATATTTATATTGACGATAGCAATAATATAGATTCTTAGCGATAGTAAGCTATGAATTAAAAATAAATCAAAGCTGATAAACAGGAGCTAGCTGGTGACCTTATTTGAACAATAAAATCAAATCATTCAGGAGACCAATAATTTTATAAAACAAGACATCGTTCTTATCAAATACTGTATGTAGAGGAAGAATTCACAAAAAACGTCAGCGAAAAACGTAATTTCAATATTGTTATCATTCAATCTAAACATTGTTCATCGTGCCACTCTGCAGGAAGCCTGAGCTTCAAACTCGTGGTCAGTTCAGCAAAAATTTGAAATTTTAAAAGCTGAAGGTACGGAA